GCACCAGTCCCGGTTTGATTAATAAAATTTTGAACTGCGTGAGGTATAAGTTTCCCAATTATTAAAATGATCGTCAGGTGGTCGGATATTTATGGTAGGTGAGTGTATATGTATATGTGTATATATATGTATATATATATTTATTTATCATTATATCAAGTTTCAAAAATTTTCCCAAATACTAAAACAAACAGGTAATAATCGCCCTGTTGTTTTTATTTATTTGGTCATGTGTCACATAATGTGTGTTAATTTACTTGGTGTAATCAAGATTAAAAAGATTTATCGATCAATCTCTTGTAGAGATCTTTTTGTAAAGAATAAAAATAAAACTTATATACTTAACTATTCGCAATAGGTAACAATGCCTTATCAAGCCTTTTCCGAAACAGGTGATACTGTCGTTAACATGGAGGATGAGGAAGGAATTAACGAGAATAGCCCTTTGTATCCCTTTGGTGTTCCTGTTATTTTATTGAATGTTAAATCTCAAATGGGTGACTAATAATTATTTTTTATATAAATATTATTATTATTATTATCATTGTAATATATTTTAAATGGACAATTTATATGTTTTCCATAGCATTTGTTCGTAAAGTTTGTATAATCTTTGCATTGCAACTTATAGTCACTATAGCATTTACAGGTTTATTATTATATCAGTATAATTGGAGACATTTTATTCAAAGATTGTAAGTTTATTATTGTTATCATGATTTATTTGTTTGTTTATTTGTTGATTGATCAATATATAACAATGATTATACATTATTCTTTAGTGATTGGTATTATCCAATACTCCCAGTTTTATCACTTATTTTGTTGGTTGGAATTACATGGAAATCAAATGATAGTTTTCAACCACCTTGGTATTTGGTTGTTTTATACACTCTACTTAATGCTGTTATTATTGCTGCACCTAGTAAGTATTTAATAATAGATTAATTAATTAAAAATTGATTGATTGATTGATTATAAATATCTAATTCTTATTTAATTTAGCATCATTATTGAGATTATTCTGTGTACTTGACACTTTAATCATATTATTGGTAGTTGCAATATTTATAATTGGATATACAAATCAATACACTTATAGATTTAAAAGTAAAGCAACAATGTAAGTTGTATATAATATTTGTATTATATATTTGTGTGTGTAAAAATAATAATAATAATAAATTTTTTTTATTATTATCATCTGTCATCCTAATTATAATTATAGTATAATGGTATTAATAGTGATCACAATAACTACCTTGGTTTTACATCCATGGTTTTTTACATTTTGGGATGCTATACCAGCAGTTATTTTCTCAACTTTATTATCACTCTTCTTTATATTGGATAATTGGTATATGTTGAAAACAATGAGTAAGGGTGATTATATGGCTGCCAGTATGCAAACCTACTTGGATTTAATAGTACCATTTAGAAGTATACATCATCTTTGTGAATTAACTGCTGAATTTGATGATGATACTGATGATGAAAATGATTATGTTGATAATGTTGTTAATACTAATGTTGGTGCTAATCGTAATCGTAGGACTTGAGATATTTAACTTTTTTAATTTATGTTATTATTATCACTATATACATATGTATTATATATTATATTATTATTATTCAATTTTTTGAAAAATTTACAATGAATGACTTTAATTGATTTTGAAAATTGTAATGACTTTACATAGGTTTTTATTCCAAAAATTCAATCCCAAAAAAATTATTATTTTGGAAAGATCCTTGATTATAGTATTTAGAGCTAATCTTATAAATGAAAATAGAGATATGAAACTCATTTATATCAGATCCATCACCATGGTAGTACGATTAAAGGAATAACAAGGTGAAAAAATTTATTTTATTTTATTTTCATGTATAAATAATTGGCCCTTTAGAAAAAAGTCAATGCCCTGAACACAGTGTATTTTCATTAGAATCTTGTCCTGGAAGCATGTTGAGAAATTCTAGCTAGGTCCGGGTTAATGATAATTGCAAATTCATGGTAAATTGTCATTAAACATGTAAATACGCAGTAAAGGGGTATCACCAAGTATACCACTAAAGTGAAATTCTGCCAGACATGATGATTAATTGAAAAAGTACATTCTATTACCCAAAGTTTGACCCAGTTCTCTTGAACATGTATTTTATCTCCCTGATAGAAGAAATGTTGGGTGGTTACTTTAATTCCATTTGAACAATAACTTGGTGAATAAAACCCTTTAAATCGGGGCTAGTACATAACCACTACATATCTATTAAACCAGGTGGGTTAAGCTAAAAATGTCCAATAAATTCCTTAACGTTACACCAAATCACTAAATAATCAACATATTCTCATATTTCTCGCACCAATCAATAATCCATTTGTTTTAAACTTCTCATTTTCTTATTGGACTAGAAACCACCAATACCAACACAAACAGGTAAAATCAAAAACTAAAAGTTATCTCACTATCTCATCTCCACTTGTAACTTTTCGTTTATCTTAAAGCTAAAATGTTGTCAAACACTTTTACTAAATCTTGTTTTTATTTTTTTTTTTTACACGACGAACCTTCTTTACATTTCTTTAATTATTTAAAATAATAATAATAACAATAATAATGTTAAAGCCTTTATTTATCTTTAAAAATCTCAAGAGTAAACTAAATCATTATATATGATTTCAAATTTATCACATTATTAAAAAAAGACAAATCCGCCCATATGGATGATGACGATGATAATAATAAGGGTCTTCAAACCGATCCATCGAAAGCAACTCCCACCACTTTCAACTCTGTTACTTATGATCAACCTTACAGTCTGGTAAATTAATGATCTTGGATTGGAGTAAAATTTATTAATAATAAATTTATTAAAAAAATATACTACTACTTTATCTAGCTTATGAATCATGGCACCTCACCATTCACAGTTATTAGTACTCCAACTACACAAATTGCGCCATCGACAGGAATAGAGGAACAAGAGGAACCACTATATGTGAATGCTAAACAAGTAAATATAAAAATTATTTAACCTATAATAAATTACTAAGCTTTATTAATTAATCAACGAATTGATTGATTGTTAGTATCATAGAATTTTAAAAAGAAGAGCAGCCAGAGCAAGATTAGAAGCTGAAAATAAGATACAAAGGGGACGAAAGGTTGTCTATTATTATTATTATGATTATTATTATTACTACTACTACTATACTATTAGCATTATCATCAGCAATATTATTATACTTGTATTAATATATTGTTCGATAATGATATTGTTGCTTGATTATATTGATAGAAATATCTTCATGAATCTCGACATAAACATGCTATGAGACGTCCTCGTGGTCCTGGTGGTAGATTCCTTACAGCAACTGAAATTGCAGAATTAGAACAAAAAAATAAAGCAGAGCAGCAACCACAACAAGATGACGGTCAACAATCACAGCCACCACTACAACAAAAACAAGATGATATTCAACAAGTAGTAGAAGATAATAGTAACAAACAACAACAACAAAATAAAAATAATAATAGCAATAATCATCAGGATAAAAACGACTCTGGCAATTCAAACGCTTTGAATAATATGATGGTATTAGAAAACGGTGTGAAGCAAGAAATTCAAAAATAATAACAAAAAAATATAGGTTTGAAATCAAAGTTTATTATATAAAAATATTCGATTCTTTGATTTTTGAAATGATTTAAATAGTATATATTTTATTATTAAAAAAACGAAATTTGTATTCTTTACATATATGTGTGGAAGGATTTTTTACTGATGGATTTTCTTCACTTAATTTTAAATGATTAAATTTGTACAAATATCATTACCACAATAGGTGCAAAAACTAATGTCAAAAAGCATTTCATAAACAAAATTTTGTCAAGGCTATTTTTTTTTTCCCCAACCTTTGTCTTGATTTTCACATGTATTAAAAAGAGTTTTTTTAAAATTTGTTGGGGTAGATCAAAATAAAAAATTGATATTTTCTACAAATATAGTAAGAAATAAATTACACAAAAAAGTTTCGAAACTATGATTAAATTTTTAGATGAAAGAATATACGAGAAATCTGGAAAATTATTTTCAAATGTTTTAAGGGTGTTTGTCTATTTTTCTTCTATCAAGAAAGCTTTTTTTTTAAATTAAAATAAAAATCAATTAATTAACAATGTCGACAATCCTATTACCATTTTTAAATAACTTGTCAGCGCTCACAGGAGGCGTTCCACTTGATTACCTTCGATTGATTATCAATTTATTAGCAAATTACCCGGCTGCTTTATTTTATAAAACAATACCACACGATAAACCAAATGTTAAACATTTATATTCTATTATGATGTCCATTTTGGTGTGTTTTGTGCTTTTTGATTTATCCAAAGCATTTTACGAATTACTGGCTATCAGCATGATATCTTATTTCATATTATATTATGTTAAAAATGTCTGGGGACATAGGCTCGTGGTAGCTTTGGTATTATTGCACTTGAGTATTAAGTAAGTTGAAAAAGAAGGCCAAAAACCAATGATTTTTTATTCTATCTAGATAAAATATTAGATTCGAATTTATCTTTGTTTGTATATTTCCATTTAGCCATATTTATCGACAAGTTAACAGTCTAACATATGATCAATATGATACAACGGGACCACAAATGGTCCTAATTATTAAACTTACTTCATTCGCATTTAATGTTTATGATGGAAGAAGGCCAGCTCATGTACGTATTAATCATAAAATCTTTTTTTTAATAAGATCACTTATTTTATTCATAATATATATATATATATATATATATATATTTAGGAATTAACATCATATCAAAAACTTAAATCTGTTACTAAAATGCCTTCAATTCTTGAATATCTTGGATTTGTATTTTTTTTTGGTGGATTTATGGTTGGCCCCGCATTTGAATTTATGGATTATAGGCAATTTACAAATATGGAAATGTTTAGAATTGATAATAATAACGACAATAAAGGTATTCGCTAATTAATTTATTTTATTTTTCTTTAATAAGATTTCGTAAAATTAAAATTAATCAAATTAAAAAAGCAAAAAACAACACAAAGAAGTATTATGTACCAAATGGATTTGTACCTTCAATGGGTAAATTACTGTTTGGATTATTTTGGGTTGTTTGTACTTATTTATTGGGTAAAAAATACGATACAGATTGGATTTTAACTAAAGAATATCGATCAAAATCATTATTTAATAGGTATTTTTTTTTTATCCATCTATCTATAATTATTAACGATGATAATAATAACACTTTTTAAAATATTTTTAATAGATTATTATTCATACAAATATCTGCTTTTTGCGCAAGATTTAAATATTATATTGTATGGTTGCTAGCAGAAGGTTCATGTGTTCTTAGTGGCATCGGATTTAATGGTTATGATGGAAAGGGAAATGCAAAATGGTATTGCTAAACAAATAATTTTTATTATAATTTTTATCATCATCGTTATAATATACTTTGGTTAATATATAATTAATGTATAGGGATCGTGTTTCAAACATTAATGTGATAGCTTATGAAACTGCTGATAATCCTAAACACTTATTAGAAGCTTGGAATATGAATACAAATAAATGGTTAAAGAATTATGTTTATTTGAGGATAACGCCTCCCGGGCAAAAGCCGACTTTCCTTTCTACTTTTGCTACCTTTGGTACTAGTGCTGTTTGGCATGGATTTTATCCCGGTTATTATCGTATGTAATCAAGCTTCTCTCTTTTCCACCGTATTTTTATTAATAATAATATTTCTGGTTTTTTTTTTAATAGTAATTAATCAATTAGAATTTTTGTATTTTTAGTGACATTTGCCAGTGGAGCATTTATTCAAAGCCTCCATCGATGTATGTAACTGTTTCGCGTGATTTTGTTGATGCGTGAAAAATTTATTAATATTATTAATATTTTTATCTTTAGCAATTCGTCGTCATATACGCCCAATATTTCTAACGCCCAAATTTAAATCATATAAACACATCTATGATTTTTTGGGTTGGCTATCTACACAAATTATGATAAATTATTTGGTTTTACCGTTCAATATATTGTCATTAGAAGGTTCTCTTTATGCTTGGAAATCGGTTTATTTCTGTGGACATTTGACAATTTTGTTAACGAATATGTTGTTCTGGTTGGGACTTTCGAGATATTGTAGAAAATTGATTAGTATTGGTGGTGGTATTGCTACTACCACCGCCACTACACCCAGTAAAGAAAAAACTCATAAACTGTTTACAAATAATGAAAAAGATTATAAAGAAAAAAATATATAAAAAATTTCTTTATTTTTCATATCAATAAAAAATAATGCCTGTAATAAATGTAATAAACTTGAAAAATTTAAGCTTTGCAAAATTACTTTGCAATATTCGAATACAACCATTATATATACATTAATGCCTTCCCCAAAGTCACAGAGATCAAAATTTAGTGGAATTGGTGATAATTCCTTTATCGCGCATTTTATAGATTTGTTTTCTTCTGCGTTAACAAGTGGAGCGCCATACATATAATGGATGATCAGTTATATTGTTAAATCTCACTGACCAGGAAAGACTCTTATCGGATCTTTTTGATATTGAGTGTGTGAAGTGTTTTCAATGTCTAGCATAAATTGGCTGGTGTTAATGGTTAGTATAATAGGTATGTAAGTTTTTGAGAAGAGTGGTAAAGAGCATAGTGGACACTGTTGCAGATCACAAAAACAACTATTTCATTGGCCAGATTTTTGTCGATCTTATTTCCAATTATCACATAAAATATAATTTTGATTGGTTTGACAATTATTACAAGGAGAAATTTAAAATGCCTAAATGAATGAATGAATAAATTTTAATTGAAAAAGGATACTTGTTGTATCATTGAATGAACTTCATTATTGGGTGAGACAGATTCTTTAATAAGCTGTAATAGTTGTGAAAGACCTTCTTCTGTAGGTGTCCAATCCATGATGAAATTTTGTGGTAAATCTGTCGAATGCAAGAATTACAATTAAAGATGTTTGGTTTTTGATAAGACAAGTTGCAGAATTTACAAGTGATGTCTAATGAAAGGCACGTACTTGTGTTTAAATCAATGTAAGTGAAAGGCTAAGGAGACGAAAATCTTTGAAAAAAAATAATTTTTTTTTAAATCCGTTAGCATAACAGTTGGTTAAGTGCAAGACTTATGTAAAGAGGGAGGTATATTAAATCAAGGGTCAAAATGATTGGATAATAATCATCTATTACTATGTTTGGCATCTGTATTACTTGACTGCGCTCATTAAAAAAATTTTTTCAGATTTGAGAATTCCTAAAACTACTCCTTTGTATTTTGTATATATATAGAATTATTAAGAAAAGTAGAGAAATGATTGTACACATGTAAACTCGATAAGTCGATTTTGGCCTAAACTCGGCCAAAAATTTTCTTTTTTTAATATTGATAAGTTGGTCCATTATATAAAGCCGCGATAAGCACCAAATCAGTCACACTAAGGACCCCCAATTATTATAATGGTAATAGTAACATCCAGTTAAATTTCCAAAATATTATTGGCCAATTGGGACATATAGACTACACATTTAGCAGACCTCAATTAAAAATCTCGGTTTTATAGATAAAGTTCAAAGAACGGTTCATAATAAGCCTTAATAAAAACCTTCTTGATATAGTGGATATCTCGGTTTAACAGATTTTTGGAAAAATTTTCCCTAATTGCCCAAACTATCTGCTAAATTGAGATTCACTGTGTATATAATTTATCAACAACATCACATGGAATTACATATCTACCTTTTATGGTAAGATTTTCCACCAAAAGTCAGCTATAGTTTTGGAATTTTCAGCATTCACATACAGCCTAAGCTCTCTATACTGAACCTATAATGAATATTAAGTAAAATCTCTCTATAACAAACTTAACTTTTGTCTCCAATTCCATTTTTTATAGTTAATTTCTCTCTATAACAAACAAAAGCAGAAAAATTACATAACAGGGACAGGGTTTCAGTATAGAGAGCTTAGACTGTATGCAGTTTCAGCAAGTGGCCTTAATTTTTTGAAAGCATGTAAAATTCTTGAAATGTGTTTAGTAATCTTGGTATAACAAATTTTAAATGCAATTTTCCTATGTGTCCCATAGATTCATTGAAACAAGGTTTGACTGTGCTTCAGATCCTAAAAAATATTTTAATTTAATAGAAGCACAAATATTGTTAAAACATGATGAAATCCTATATAAATTCAAGTATACAATTTATTATTGTTTACTTCAATTATTTTCAAAATAATATTAAATTTCAATGGTGCTTTTTTATGTTCAGGTCAAGTATTAACTTAGTTTGACTTGGCTCATTTGGGGCATTAATTTATTTAGCATCTATCAGAATTTTTGATCCTTGGTGTGTCCAACTTCTTAGTCCCAAAAGAATAATTCCATCATTGTCATCATCACCATTATCTAATACACTGTGTTCTTCTTTTTGTTGTTGTTCTTGTTCTTGTTGAGTCCTTGAGTTGAACATTAATATTCTTCTTGAGTCATACTGTAGCAGTATCAAATGGTTTTTTGTTAGAAATTGCCCTGTTACTGCCACTTCTTTATACTCTCCATCCTTCTACCATCAATACTTCTGATACTTTCACCTTCTCTTCTCCCTTCTGTGGTAATAAATTCTTCACTCATCTGTCATCTTTAGCATTTTTTACAAAAAGCATCTACAAATAAATATACATAATAACAAACACATTATGAGAATACACTGTTTTATTATTACTCTTGCATCATTTCTTTTTCAACAACCAATTATATATTTGGTGATAAAAATTTATCAATGAAAGGTCTGTCTGAACTGTTTAAAAAAGTCAGTACAAGGAAGCTTTAAAAAGTTATGATAAAGCTATTGACTGGTAAGTACTTTGACACTTTGTAATAATAAACAATGATTAATAGGACAAGAACCTGATGACTATCTTTCATATTTTAAATGTGCTAAAACATATTGGCATTAGAAAGTAATAATTTTGCATTAAAGACTTTCCAAAGTTTAAATTAAAATCAGGGTTGAAAAATAAAAACCATTCATAATTCACTATATTTTAAATTTCAAATATGTTAATAAATATGTGTATTTAGGCCTTAATTCAAAGAGCGAAACTATTTATCAAAAAAGATCATTTAACCAGAGGCTAAAGGTGATCTTTAACATTACTTTTTTTTGAAATTTAGTTGGAATTAGTCACTGCTATCACAAAAGAGTCCATAATAAAGCCAAAAAATCATTTAAGGGAAAAGATTATAAAGGACTTGATTTTAAAAACTCTGGTGGAGAATTAATCAAAACCAAATTCTAACCTTTGAGAGCAGAATGTCTTTTGACTAAAGGAGATGTGGAACAAGGTATATGTGATTTATAGTATAAAAAATATTATTGTTAAATCTTTTTGTAAGATTGGCCAAACTATATTTCTTTTTCATAATCCAGAAAAATCAGGCAGAGAGCACTTAAAGGTTGTCTTGGATAAGATCCAGAAAACATACTAAGGAAAAATCAAACATTTGAAAAAAGATATTGATTGATAAAATTGATAGTGATATCAAAGTGGAGATTTGCATATTTTGGACAATGAATATGATGTAAATCTTTTTTCTTTGTCATTTATTTACTTCTTGAATTCTTAGTTGCTTTGTGATCCGATTATATGCACTCTTAAAATCTTCTGTTGCTGCATTGTACTCCTCTTTTTTTATATATGCCTCTCCAATGCTTGTGTCTAATTCTAATGTTTATATTTACACAAAAAATATTTTCATCTTACTTCAAGTATGCATGACAAGTCAATTCATGTCATATAATTATATTAATAATCATTTTTTGCTATCACTTCATTAATAGTTTGTATTTCATTTTTAACT